AGCTAATGGAAATACCATGAATTAGTTATGCGATCGCAGTCATATAACCTCTCGCTTACTGTGTCAAATGTATTACTCTTTTCCCAGCTCAAATTTGTTCTACAGAAGAGCTAGACCTCATATTGCTGACTAACACAGTAGGACGAGTCGACTCAGATGGTGATGTGACTTCCACGTAAGATCTCATCGAATAGTTATTATCCATGTTATTTCCAAACTGAGGTTTGGACTGAAGAATAATTCTCTAGATGGGTTAGGTACGCGCTCTTGTCCGGTTGAAACAAAAACAAAGTGATTGGGCAAAATGATGGTTCTGAAATTAATGACAAATTTGAATGTACATTATTACTTAAACAAATATGACCACCCAGCTACTCAACAAATAATTGTTCAATTGATCAAATCTTAATTACAATGAATAAGGAAGTTCATAAAGGATGCGAGAAAATTACCAATCACAACAAATAAATGTTATTCTATTCTGTCTGGATAGATCACGCACAGACTCGTTCAAACGACAATATTTGGGTTGCTTTATAACACAGTGTTTCCAATTCTGGAAGAGTGCCTCAATTCACAATCAAGAATGAAAAATTCCAGTCAGTACAAGCAACACAATCAAAGGGAGGGACAAACCAATATGACTGCCATCAAGACTAAGTATCAAGTAAGACAACATAAATGCAGTTCAGGAAGGGGCATGGAAACTTGGTGAAGTCGTAAGAAAAATAAAAACTATAATAAAATACAAATATTACCGACTCGAATGGAATCAAAAAGACTAACAAAATGCACAAGTAAAGGAATCGATAGGAACAAACTTCAAGTGTATAAGTGGAGGGATTTTCACACACAAAACATTCAAAATAAGTCTTACAAGTAGTGTTTTCAAGATTGAAGCTGCTGACGTTGCATATCTGCATGTATTTCACCCATTTGTGCCTTCTTAGTTTAAACATGCAAATAGTTTGATTTATGTAACGTTTGGAAGCCATTTTGAAGATAAAATGATCTACACGGAGTTTCGTTTACGGTAAGATGTTTCAATGAACACCTGCATCAATTAAGGGGCATACTTCCGAGTCCATTTTCTGTAGATCGTCTTTTAAAACTGAAAAATCCAACCGTTTAACGTTCCAAATCTTGCTGCTAGCAGCCGTTTGTTTATCAGAATACTGTTTTCAGCACTATACTTTATAACTACACGTAATTGCATACCTTCGGCTTCTTTCAGAACCACCTTCGTTTATACAGTTTTTTATTCACTCATACCTTGTTTGCATTTATTTTCTTTAACAAATTTGAATGCTCTTGCTTGATACGTATCTTAATAAAAGAGGATTATACTGAGTAGTCATACCTCAACTATTACTCCATGAACATCGTCTGCTCTGCTTTTCATCCCTTCTTTTTCTTACACCTTTTTTCAGACCCCTCGAGATATGTCACCGAAAACAGATATGGAACGGGTGACTTTGTCCCGCACCATCTTCAAAGCCTCAGATATTCCTGGGGAATATAAGGTTGTGGTTTCTAGAAGCTCCCAACTTCACCTGAATCTATTCATGACCATCAGCTGCACGTCGCAACGCAACCTTCATAATGCACACCAACTACGATATTGAAAATAAGATCATAACTAAAACCATCTATATCCATAAATTATAAAATATCAACCCAGCTGAGTAAATCACTACAGTGAAAATTGTATCTTTTGTAACAATTCGATCTTGCCCGTAAAATGTCATGCCTCATATAACAGTGTTACTGGAGAATAAATTATTATTATTATTATTAACTAATTATTCTCGCGTTCACAGTTTTTGATCTCTCTATGTTAAATGTCAAATATGGATTTTCTCACTTGTTTCATGTTCAACTTTAAGGATCATTTGTTGAGAATCAATATCACCACAGGGTAAACGAAGAGGCTAACTAGATCTTCAGCTCCTCCAAAACCATCCAAGTGACTTCCGTGGTGGAAAGAAGAAATGAACGTCAAGATAGGTGATGTATAGGAACGATTGTATCCATTTTGGTTGCATCAAGTTAACTATGGTCAGCACATGAACACTAGCTTTGTTCCTGAGTGATAATCCTCACTCCACTGAATCTGTCATATCTACGACCTAGATAAAAGGCATTTCAGGTGTTGAACAAATCAAAACAACGAAATTATGAGACAATTTATTTTTAGGGCTGATATGGCTGTCTTTGGCGGCAATTTTATTGTCCGATGTGATTGAAAATGATTATCAGTGCTCAATGTAACTATGTAGATAAAGTTTGTGATCAATTATGTAGGTCATTTTTCAGCGTCTGGATGGGTCATACACAGCTTCGGTACTCAAAACTGGGGAAACCATTTTATGTTTGAGGTTAAAAGTTACACTAGCGGTTCAATTTTAAGCTCCTGCCTGGATTCCTGGTTTCTTTTCTTGACGGATAGGTTACTCGTGCCCAGCTGTGGATGAATTTACCCGTTGTCGGTACCCTATTCACACCACCGTTTGGACGAATTTAATTGTTTTCGAAACCTTTGGAAATCGTGATAATGATTCCTGTGCTTAATAGTTTGAAGTGTAATATTGAAGGGATGCCAGTACTTCATTTTCGATGAACTGTTACCGTAAAATGCGGACATTTTCTATAATCGCTTGATCATGAGGCCCTACTAGCAGACTTTGGTTCGAAATCGAAAACACCCGAACATTCTGAGAATGGTCTACAGTGGCGCGTGATTACATACTGTTGTAAGCGATTACTTCTGAGAGATATTGTTATTCTATATGGTTCAAAAATCAGTTGTTACCAAGCGTGAATCGGTACTCACATATTAATTATTCTCTGACGTTCGACGATACAAAGCTGTCACTTATGTTCCCTCGAAACCATAGCATCTTGAGAGAAGAGGTCAGTCAAAATGGTTTTTGACGTTTTCGGAAGGAAAACATGGCAATAAAACGTGAAAGAGCCCCCGTGGAGACCACCCAGTTCCTCAGTGAAGCATCTCTAGCAATTTAAGCAGAAGAGAGTAGCAGTAGAAGATAAACAGAGGAAACTTCTTTCTGGGTGCAATTTGTTAGAAGTGATATATAAATATCCCAGCCGATGAGACTACACTATCGGCAGCTGAATATCAAAAATGGATACGCCATGCAGATCAAATACCGGGAAATTCTGACGCGTCGCAGAAATCTAAAAACGTGGGTTTGTGTAGGAAACCTCAGACAGCGACCCAGATGACTGTAGGATGAGAACAGAACCTAATGAGAAATTTATTACTGAAATGCAGGAGAGCAGAGTTTCTTTAGTTATGCCTAAAAAGGGAAGCGTGCAACGTTTACAGGGGAAGATGTCGATTATGATATCTTAGTTGTTGCTTGCAACAAGTGACCAGTCAATTTTTCTTTTATTTATTCCAATTACCTGGACTGGTCACGTTTTACAAGGGTCACAACGTTAGTCGTTTTCCCATGCGTATCCACAATGACAAATGGTAGTTATAACCTTTTTATCAAGTGGGAAGATGATGTGAACAGACAACTGAAGAAGTCATGACAAGCAGTGCAAGCTGTCTTGGCGAAAATCATATCACTTAATTCAAAATTTATAAAATACTAACGTTTGGTTCTGTCCCTGGTTATTCCTAAGCTGTCGTTTGATGTATGATTCACTGCCATATCCTTTTCAGTTCCAAAGCCTTTGAAGTTCAAACGTGACTTTTGTAAACATTTTTATATCCTAAAGCTTAGTTTGGACGTAACTGTATTTTTCGAATGGTTTGAGCTTTGTGGTAGCGTTATTTATTTATTTATTCATGCATCTTTTTATACGAATGCAGACCGGAAATCAAGAATAAGTCTTCCAGTTGACTCGCTTTTGTGCTCACTTTCACTCATCTACCAGTCATAGAATAGAATAGTTTTCGTCTCTTTTTTCCAGAACCATTATTCTCAATTCAGACCCACGCGTTTCTGGCCCTAAGTTTGAACCAATTAGCCAATCATTTCAGGCCTTTAACCTAGATTAAGACAACTCCTCGACTCTACATTACTGAGTAGGCAGATCCATATTTGAGAGACTTAGTAAAGTCAACTGATCACAGAGAAAGGGTTTCCTGCCATGCGGAGAGCATTGATCTGTACCTCAAAACTTGACACTAACACATTACAAAATATTAAGTGGATTATTAGCTTAGAGGTAATTACCCAACTACCTGTTCAAAGAATTAAAACATCTAAGGCAAACTAGACACGTAGTCCTATCGTCAAACGGCAGATTAATCCAACCATTTCCAGTAGCAACACTTGAACACAGAGATGCAATATGGAAGCACCCCACGAAAAGAAGTAGTTGAGTAGAATTATACGAAGACAGTCTTGAAATGGTGTATGATGAAGGGACAGTGGTGGTAACTAAAAATATAAGCGAAATAAATACATATAGTCGCATTTGAAGTCGAAAATATATGAACACAATATGTAAGAATGAAAGTATTAAAAAATTAACTTTACAATTAAAGTAAAACCAGGAGTTACTGTCAAGTGAAATGCGCACAGAAGGGGTTTCACACGCACAGACATGGGTAGACGTGTGCATACGAAGAGCATTTTCTAGTCTGGTTTCTATTTCGTCTTTTTGTTCAAAATGCTCTTATTTTGTAGTATTCCTTCGTATCTATTAATTTAAATATATTTTCATTCCCTCATTAACGTACGTTCTTTCACTTCTTATCGTTATTTGAGTTCCAACTTTTAAAAGTTTAATGTTACTAATCAAGCAGCTGCATAACGAGATAATGACTCCTAGTTCCCGCAGTCCAGCCGTAATGAGACGAACAGCTCTAATGACCTGAAAATAATCAAGCCCTTGTATGAGTGTTAGATTTCTGATGAATATTAGGGTGAAGTAAGCTGATTCTTCAACGGGCGGCACTACTAGGTTTAACTCATTTTCTGAAACTTTTACGTGATGGCTGAAAAAGAAACATTGGACATCTAATTAGCACTATGACAACAATAACGCGCACATTTAAAAACAGTTTTCGATGAAGGAAAGCATATATAATTTAATACCTTTAGAACAGCCACCTAAAGCTTCCTTACCAAGGTAATTTTAGTTTTCTTTGTTATCATATTGATTTTAGATATAAATCATGTAGCCAGAGAGAAGTAATATCCTTATTTAACATTAAAAAGTTTCCTTGTAAAACTATGGGAGTCCCAAAAGTTAATCCACCAAATCCGCAATGCTATCTTAAGATGAGGCACTCAGCGCCTGAATTATTTCGTAAAAACGACGAGCCGTTGAAGGGTAGCTTAATTTTTTTGGTTCAATTTTTATGAATATCCAGGCAGCTATCGTAAATGTAACCTCTCAGCTAAAAGAGAACCCCTACCGTCTCTTAAATCTAAAGCAATAAACGTCGTTTCATGCAAAGATTTTATCAAAAAGAATATAAGAATGATAGAAGCGTCAGTGCCTTCAAAACCTAAACCGTTTGTGGTAGATACGAGGACAGGCCATAAGTTTGATTTCAAGTGTTCTGGTCTTGAGCCTTTTTATATTAAGCGTAAGGTGAGCACTTATCATTGATCAACTTTGAATGAATACAGGATTTTGGTGAATTGCCGAAATATCTATCTGAGCGTGAGAAAGCCGCTTCTGAAGCTCAAAAGAACTATGAAGAATACATTAAACAACTTAAGGAGAAAAATGCTCTGATGGTTATCACAAAAGATGAGAAAAAGGTAGGACTGTTTATCTACTTTCGTAACTTTCTATCAACTTAGTCTTTAATTGATCAACTAAAAGACAAGTGGCAGCAAAGATATAGACAGTATCAATCTTTATCCGTTATGATTGACACTCCCCCAAAAATGCACCACAAATTATGGCTTGAAAAAGAAATGGAAGAAATAGAAAAAGACATAAACCTCCTGGAAGGATACGATTATATTTATGTTGCCAAATAAATGTCATATTAAACATTTATAATAAAAAGTGCCTACATACGATTGTTGCACAAATACTCACACTGGCTAGTGTACTGATTTCTCATATTTCCTATTCTGAAGAAAACACACTATTTTTTCTTCATTTGAACTCTGTAACAACTTATCCCCAAATTTATTTCAGAAATACTATGGTATCCAGAAAGGTGCATTTACAGTTTTCACATGCACCTACAAATTTCTCTTTCACTTTGTTTTGCAATATTTTTCCTCACTCTTTGTAGGTATGTGATTTAGATTACGATATTGCTCACAATCAAAAATTTACAGTTTTGTGATTGGAACCATTTGTATCCTTCATTTTGGCCACTTAGGACAGAAGTTTAATTGAGCTATACTCTGTAGTAAGTAGAACAGCGATGCGCAAATATTTACTTGTCAGCTGTGCCACTAGCAGAGAGTTTTTACACAAGTCGGGTTAAAGTAGCCTGGAGAAAGCGATACCTATGAGTCATGTGAAAAGTAGGACACACAAACTGTTACAACAACTTGTTCAGCCTTTAGTAGTATAGAGAGTAATGGATTCCTTACGACTGATTGGGATTTATGGCTAGCAAACGATTGAAATTTAAGAAACTTTAGTTACGATTCCAAAGGTTACCAGTCAACATAATGAAATACATCGCAGAAATCATTTTCTGGTGTTTAGTAAACTATTATATCTGCCTTGAACTCCAAGGAATATCAAACGTGAAAAGTTACTGTTTGGACAAAGTAAAATATACGATTTCAATAAATCTGATATGCTCCATTGCACTATATTTTCATCATGCACTGGGCTTACAAATTTTAGAACGTGATACTATGGTTTGCGTATTCCACCATAACCAAAAGAACAAATTCAAATAGTTAGATTAAAGCTGATTGTTGATGGTATTCATATTTACTTGATTTTAAAATGAATTGCTTTTAAATTTTCTTAATACCCTTCGTTATAAGTCTACAACTTTATTGTGTTAGAAGCTTGCATGCCTTCCGTCCCAATTTAGATGGTATAACATTGCAACAAAGGATTTATAAATTTGTCGTGAAAATAATATCGACGTTATGGTTTCTATTCCGGGTATCACGGGGTGTTTATTTTTTAGATATTGTTATCACATATTCGTAGATATCCTGCAGCTAGTTTTAATTTACAGTTTTATGATAATTAGAAGTATTCAGATTATTGTATTAACTAGGAATTTCCGAAATAGTGCAATTTAAGCCAAAGAGAGTTAGATGAGCACAAACAAACGTACTGTATTTAGAATTCAAAACCATAAACGAATCAAGTACGAAAAAATCATTGGTTCATACATAAACAGCAGATCTGTCTATGGTTTGTAGTTGCAAAATACCGTTCTGATGGATTCTAATGACATTTATTTATCAGTTCTTAAATTGATAAATGAACAGCTAACAACAACTATCTATATACCAATATTGATGGGATTAGTTGTAATAACCAAACCCAAAATCTCCTTTGACCTAATCTTGCCAGTATTTTGAATAAAAGCTTTCAAACAGCTACAGTTTAGAATGAATATGTGTAAAGTTGATTTGCTTTAGTTTGTAAAAATTCATTTTCATAAAATATGCCCAACGTCCATTAAAGAATTAATAACTTATTCAAAAGATTACGACAAAGTATCCATAACGGCTTTAACTAGAGAGAGATTTAGTTAGTTAGCAGTTTTGTAACAATGAAAATATTTAAGATATATGACAACTTTATTATTTCTCATATAAACAGAATCATCGCTAAACTGTTTTGCAGTTAGTCAGAAATATAAGTTACACAGCATATTAAGTGACCGATAAAGGTGTAAACTTCTGCACAGTACTATATCGTTTTAATGTTTTGGAGACTTAAGTACTAAATGCAGATGAAATTAAAGAAACACAAATAAGTTAGTAAGATTTTTATAAACATTGTATGTATATATATGTGATGATGATTAGAAGTACTCGAAGTAATGTGCTATGAATTCCTGAAGTAGTGCAATTCAAGCCAAGTAAAACTAAATGAGCATTATATTTGTAATTCGTAATATGCGAGCAACCAAGTAAAAAGAACTCAGTGGTTAGTTCAAATACCACAATATATAATGTAAACAAGTGAGTTGATACGTCAAAATTAAAATGATATTCAGCTCCCTCTGAATTTATTAAATTTTATGTCCCTGTGCCCCTTTAATATATGACGTAATTATATCGCCAACTAGAGCACAGCAAATTATCGACCAAACCAATGAAGCATAAACTCATACAAGTCTATAGTCCTTATCGGTTCTTCTTTCTGCCTAAGCCTGCCTGTTAGAGTCCAGAACACCAATCTCAGCCTCTGCGATATGAAACATGTATTTCAGACATATTGGGTTTATATTACCAATCAAACAGACCACATCGTACTATAAAATAGAAAATAACAGTTGTAGAGGATCTAGCAAGTGTGGCTATGAATATGGGAGACTGTAATTAATAGACTGGTCATAACTCAAGAACGGCAACTCGTATAATAATAATCTATGAGTCAAAATAAAGCTTAGAATAAGAGAAATATAGATATATATAATCTAGCTACTAAATATTTGTATATTAGGAATATACATATAATATTGGTCCATCAATACTTCTCAAAAGTTACCATTCATAATTCTCGTCGGGATATAATAATATCTTAATGAAATAGACTGCTGATTATGTTGAACAGTATTTTCGATTAAGACAGGCTTTCTGTGAAACCAATGACAAGGACCTAACTAATGAATTATAATACTTATTATTCAGATCAAAAGATCTAAATGTTTCAATTTCACTTTACATATTACAGTCACAACTATGATCATTTAGTACAGTGGACTTATGGTATTTAGTTCTATGAAGCTTGAAAATATCGACTGGTAGATTGAAAGTTCACAATTTTATGCTCTTGTTAACCGTCTATTGTTTTCTAGCAGAATGCGATAGACATTTTAACTTGTGCAGATTTAGAATAGGAAATGTGGTCAAAATATAATTATGTTACTGGCTAAATTGTTTCGAATGTTTTTTTCCACTACTATCATTTTTCATATAAATTGAGGAGAGATTAGTCAAATGAAAAAGTAACGATATATAAAATACAAGATACATTTCAGGTAGTAATACAACTGTGAATGGTTTCCTGTAGATAACAGAGTTCCTTGCACATTAAGGAGGAATATAGAAGAGAGTTATCGTAACATCACTATTGGCTTTTAACCTTAGCTATGTCTGATAACGACTCACATCATTATGGTGCACCATCTGTAGAACCCAAATCAGGGTGTTGTGATGCAATGACAATCGCCAATTCTATTCAGATTTCTTTCATACCATTAAACTATGTAATCAACTGACCGCCCTGACTCTTTCTTCAGCCAGCCTAAGCATTAGTAAACAATATACGTTGTGAAAGTTGATGGGATAAAATTCATACCACATGTTTAAACAACCGAGACAGATGAAGTTATCAAACTACAAAAGCTCAATCAACAAGTTCGTAAATGTCAAATGTTTGATTATTAGAAGGAAACAACAATTAACACTACATAATCTGATAATAATTACTTGCTTATATTCAATTATAAAACTTAAATATTTTAGTGTATTTCTCTCTTGGAAACAATTCTGTTAGGTCTGTTTGATTGTGAACAATCATAAACAAGGTAAATTATCTTCAATCCAGATTGGATTTCATCTCATAGATATTCTTCTCTAAACTTATAACTATTCAATAACAAGTTACAGAAATCGTAAAACCTTTCATTATCAAAATTGATGATCCTATCATTCTCCTACATTATATTCAACGTTCATTATTTCACAAGGTATTCAAAAGATGCTCGTCATCAACAATGTAATTGGTGTCTTTTTTTGGTAGTACGCTATAGGAAAATGTTACCTAATTGAACTTTTTCGTTTGAATCCTAATCGATTTCTTGGCATTCATATCCCAAGTGAAATAGTTTATTATTATTTTGGGCAGACATTCAATTCTAACACTGATATGTACTTTTTGTATATATGGGATCAACTTGCTAATTAAGTGGAAGGACGAGGAATAAATCTTACTTATGTCGAAAAGAAGTCATATCTGGTAGCATTTAACCACATTACGAATAAAATAGACATAACTATGTATGTTGACCGAGCGGTATCTAACTAAAATCGAAAGCATAGCCTACAGAATGCTAGCTAAGTAGTCTTAGTCAGTCGGTCAGGAGGAATAGTAGGGATTGAAAAGGGGGTTGATTGTGAATACAGTGATTTTGAGTGCTGTTAGAGGTATGAGTGAGGTTATCTATCCCCGGTTGCCCACATCGTAGAAGAGTCCTTCTAGAGATACCTGAAAAGAAAATTGGATTAGACTGTTGTAACGGGTAGTGGGACTGCAGGTTTTAGATACGCAGCGTTTATTATCGATCGCTTCTGTGACAGTGGACACGTAAACATGTAAGGACGACCTAGTGCCCTGATTGGCCCTGCCTCGCTGTCTGTCCCAGCCAGTTGAGTCAAGAACACAAGTCACAGCCTCGGAGTTATGAATCAATCAGGGCACTAGGTCGTCCTTACATGTTTACGTGTCCACTGTCACAGAAGCGATCGATAATAAACGCTGCGTATCTAAAACCTGCAGTCCCACTACCCGTTACAACAATTGGCGACGGGGTAGAGAAAATTTTGAACCCTCTAATTGGACGAGATTCAGCATAATTATTTTGACCAATCAGTATCCAGATTTGTCGGCGTCCTTGGGAATCATTGGTTGTTAATTGATTACAGTATTTCTCATTACTCTGCTGATTCAGAATATGACTGTCCCTCCCGATCAATTGCAGCTACTACTAGATCGCCAGCAGCAGCGTTTCAGAGAAAGCCAGTTGAATGTTTTGGACTATCTACGCACGCGACTGCTAGATCTCCCATGTTTCGGAGATGTGAAAGAAACTGATGAATTAATTTCTCACTTACATACTGAACTCGAGAATGACTGCAGGACATATGAGGATGAAAACAAAAGCCTCTATGAATCCCTTATGATCAGTAATGCAAATGAGGCAGTCGCTCATAATCCGTCCAGCGATCCGGGAATGTCCAGTCCAGAAGCATGCCCTGTTGTGGGTTCAAATCCCACTGTGCCTGAAACATGTGAGGTATCCAGCTTACAAGAAGAACCCCTCGTGCCAGAAAATGTTTCCCGTGCATCAAATAATGGTCAGAAATCCAATACGAATTTCAAAGATGCTGTTTATATTAGTGACCTATTACCCACTGATGG